AGGGAAGAAGAATAGATCTCCTGATATTTATGGGTCTCCCTGACCCAGGATCAAACAGCCGGCCAGGGGGTACAGGCAGCTATAAGCCGGCAGCACCTTGTCGTGTCAGAGCGCCAACCAGCCTCCTCTTTCCCTCCAAGGTCCTCCTCAGTTGGGCCCTTTCTCCTACCAGCTTCACTCCTCCACTGGCCGCACGGATTTCCAGTCCTGTAGCGCAGGGGGAGCCGACATGTCACTGCCGCTCTGACAGGGAACCGGCCGGCGTCTCTGCCTCCCAGTAATGCCTTGCGGCGAGCAGCGTGCTCACACCGCCCTGCTTCGTCTCCCCGGCAACCCGACAGCTGCACTGGAGTCTCCGCAGCGAGTTCACCTTCCGGAGGTCCGTGCCCGCTCTCCTCTCCCTTCCCCGCGCCAGTCTCTCCCCCCGCTTGGAGCCCTCCTCAGGCAGGTAGGGCTTCACTCCATGAGGGTCTCGGGAGGGTCAGTTTTGGAGGTTGTCGGAGAGCACTCACATCGTGCTCTCCGTCGCCGCCATGTTTAGGCTCCACCCTCAGGTCCCAGATGCTGTCCTATACCCACAGTTGATCCAGAGGGTGGCAATAAAAAAACCAGCAAAGCACGATCCAATTTGCACCTGCTGGGAAAAAAATTCCTTCCTGATCCCCCGAGATGGAATCAACTGGATCAACTTTACCTATAAATGTTAGTATCCAGTTATATTCTGTGTATCTAAGAAATAATCCAGGCCTTTTTTAAAGCAATCCACTGAGCTGGCCAGAACCAACTCTGGAGGGAGTCTATTCCACATTTTCACAGCTCTCACTGTGAAGAAACCTTTCCATATTTGGAGATTAAATTTCTTTTCCTCCAGACGTAAAGAGTGCCCCCTTGTCCTCTGTGTTGACCTCAGGGTGAATAACTCTACTCCGAGTTCACTATATGAACCACTGATGTATTTATACATGTTGATCATATTCCCCCTTAATCTCCTCTTCTCAAGAGAGAATAAATTCAGTTCCTCTAATCCAGGGGTCTGCAACCTTTAAGACATAAAGAGCCACTTGGACCCGTTTCCGAAGGGAAAAAAAAGACTGGGAGCCGCAAAACCATTGCAACATTTAAAACAAATCCAACACTGCATATATTGTTTCTTACCTTAATGCTATATACAGGATCATGCAGTTAGCTGTCAATCTGAAGAAAAAAAAGAACTTTTTCACTTAACAATGTAAAATATATTTTTGCACATTAATAGCTAATTAAAATATTTAATTTATCTGGTTAATGGGATTTTTTCTCCTGAA